AAAGATGGAAAGGAAAACTAAAGAAAGTTTGGAAGAGAAGACCCAAGTGGCAGTAGGGGATACCTTCCCATTGATCAGCTTGTTCTGGGTCTCACTACATCACCATGGCTGGCCTGGAACAAGCTAGTAGACCAGGCTGGCCTTGAATTCACAGAGATCCACCTGCCTCTGCCTCAGGAGTGCTGGGATCAAAGGTGTGCGCCACCATGCCCAGCCTAGATCTGTTTTCATTTGTTTGTTTTCTTGTGGGGGTGGGGTGGAGGAATTGTTTTGTTTTTCTTTTTCTGAGCGAGATCTCCCTGTAGCCCCAGCTGGCCTGGAACTTACTATGTAGACCAGACTTGGCCTTGAACTCATGCAGATCTGCCTGCCTCTGCCTGCTCCTGAGGGCTGGGATATTAAAGGCGTGCACCACCACGCCCAGCTGCCAGTGTAGTTTGGGTTTTTTGTTTGTTTGTTTTGTTTTGTTTTAGGGGAGTTAACTCCAGGCTGTTCCTTCAGCCCTACCCTTCTCCATCAATCCCCTTTGCCTCATCCCTGTCCCTTTCTCCTGCCCAGTCTGGAAAACTCCCAATTTGGTATCTACAGGGGTATATAGTCACTTTCTTGGTTACTAGGTTCAGAGTTCCAGAGCCCCAAGAGGAAGTAAGCATCTTATCTCCCAGAACTGTTCTTTTTACACTAGCAAACACTTCTAATCTGCCTCCTCCTATAGTCTGAGTAAAGTGGGGGTGGGGAGTACAATGTGGTTTATTTTACCCCCGGACATGAGGGAGGGGGTTCTCCCAGGACAGACGGGTGGGAGGGGTGGGTGGTGACTCACAGATGATGGAACCTTCAGTTCCTCTAAGCAGAGACCTGAGTCAGGGCAGTGACAGAGCCCATGGCAGAGGGGCTGCTCCTGTACTTTCCCACTTCCCTCTTACACACACAACACCACAACTTCAGCAGTCTCTGCACCCAAGCCTTACTGGAACTAGGCTCCTGCTCTACATTTGCATATCCCCTGAAGCTCCATCATCTTCACAAATGTCCCTCCTTCCTTCGCCCTGAGGGTTCCCTCCTGCTCTTCACCCCAGCTTAGGGTAGGATAACTGGGTTCCAGGGCCAAATCTCCCCTGGGTGCCCTCTGCCACTCAGTGCTTCCTGGTCTTTCTTACACTGTTGCACATTGAGAACATTAAGTCTGAAACAGTTCCCCCAAGTACGTGAGAGGCTGTTTTGGCCAGAAGCCACTAGTCTGGGGTCTCTGGCAGTGCCAGATCTTTCCATGTTTCCAGAGTTGGGGATTGATATCTGTCCTGTCACACCTATGATCCATTTGTGTTTCAGTCACACCAGCTGGGAGGGGTCCCACTTCCCTCTTACACACACACCACAACTTCAGCAGTCTCTGCACCCAAGCCTTACTGGAACTAGGCTCCTGCTCTACATTTGCATATCCCCTGAAGCTCCATCATCTTCACAAATGTCCCTCCTTCCTTCGCCCTGAGGGTTCCCTCCTGCTCTTCACCCCAGCTTAGGGTAGGATAACTGGGTTCCAGGGCCAAATCTCCCCTGGGTGCCCTCTGCCACTCAGTGCTTCCTGGTCTTTCTTACACTGTTGCACATTGAGAACATTAAGTCTGAAACAGTTCCCCCAAGTACGTGAGAGGCTGTTTTGGCCAGAAGCCACTAGTCTGGGGTCTCTGGCAGTGCCAGATCTTTCCATGTTTCCAGAGTTGGGGATTGATATCTGTCCTGTCACACCTATGATCCATTTGTGTTTCAGTCACACCAGCTGGGAGGGGTTTTGTGGGGTGGAGTTGTTTTGGTTTTGGTTTGGTTGTGGGTTTTTGAGACAAGTTCTCACTATGTAGTTCAAAGAGTGGGTAGGAGCACACAGTTCTGCCTCAGCCTCCCATGTGCTGGGATTACAAGCACACACCACCTAGCCCGGCTAGTTGGAAGGTGTGATTTTATGAAGACCTCAGCCCCCTTTATCCAGTCTATTTTTTTATAGGCCCAACAACCGGAGGCCTAGGTCTTAAATTCAAAGCACTCAGCCTCGGTGTTCTTGGAGTTTTTAGGCATTTGAGAATCTGAACAAAGCCACCAAGTCTTGGCCAGAGAAATCATGTACACACACAACCATTTCCCTTCAGTTCCAGAGGATTAATGGGTTGTATATACAACCCTCCTCTCACCCCACCTCCAGGAACAGCAGATCTAGAGTCAGATCCCTGCTCCCCTAGAAACAGCTTTGGAGAGGGCTAACAAAGAGAAAGTGCTTCAGAATGCAAGGGTTGGGTTGGAACTCTCCTCTGCACTTTTCTTTCTGTGATGTTGCTGACTACTTCTCTGAGCCTGTTTCCTGACAGTAATGAGAACAGCCATATTTCCAGTGCTGGGTCTTTGCAAAGATTAAATGGGGAGGCAAGTTAAAGGTCAGTCCAGAGCCAAGCATATAGCATATAAGCCATCATTGTTTCCCAACCTCTCCCCTGCTGGAGTTGGCTTGACTCCTGCCTTTAGGCCTTGTGTCTGCACCTGAACTCCTCTGTTCAAAACTGACTCTTCTTTGCCTGAAGCTACAACCTTCAGGGCAAGCAGGCTGCTGACTGGGAGCTTGGTGAGCTCCCAGTCCTTCACCCCCTGTGCCTCCATTATGGAGCAGCCTATGATTAATAAAAGTCACTACAGCAAATCATTGCCGCTGAACCATGGGGCAATGAGTTCAGATCTGAGAGGGAAAGCAGACACATGGAGGCAGGCAGGCTGAGCAGAGAGAAGATGACATACACAAGACAGAGAGAAAAGCCTGAGGAGACAGAGGACACAGGCGGTGAGCTCAGAAGAGAGCACTGGTGTGGAGTCAAAACACTCAGGTCAGGCCAGGCTGGAGAGATGGCTCAGCCGATAAAGGCACTTGCCACCAAGCCTGACTATCTAGATGAGTTCAGTCCCTCGGACCTACATGGTAGAAGGAAAAAAACTGACTCCTGCAGATTGTCTTCTGATTCCTGCACATGCACCAAGATACATGCATGCTCTTACACACACATAACACACACAGAGACACAAAATAAATGTAAAAGAAATGTTTTTAAACCACTCAGGTCCTAGATACTCCATAACTGGCTAGCCACATGACCTTGAACAAATCATTGCTCCACAGCCATTCCTCTTCTGAAGAAGATTGGATTAATGGCCTCGAGGGACCCTCTCCTAACTGGCCTGGAGGGAACCCCAGTTCAGATCAACAGAAGAGGAAAGGAAGACTAGGCAAAGGCCGGCATGGCAAGAGGGAAAACAGGAGATGTCAAGGCCATTGCGTGAGGACTTATAAGGGCAGAGAGAGCCAAGAGAGGAGGGCTATTGGGGAGAGTAGAAGAGCTAGCCAGAGAATGACTAAGGGGCTCCCGTGTAAACAGGAGCAAGGAATGGACAGGGAGGGGGCCTGTTTGAGTTGGCCAATGCTGGGGGATTGGGGAGGAGGCCTGGGGAAGGACGCTATGTCCCCTGTCCCCCACGAAGGATCCTGGGAGGATCTGAGTCACACACCTCCCTGGCTGGACACTGCCCCACCCCCATTCCCACCCCCCAGGCCCAAATCCTGAAAGTCTAAAAAGAGCCTCTGCTGAGAAAGGAGAAAGCTTGATTCACACACGTGGGAGGTGGGCCTCACTAAGATCTACAGAGTCAGGCTCTGTCTTTCTCCCAAAAAGAGTTCCTCCTGGCTGGTCTCCTTGGAGGTTACCTTTGGGCACTGCTTGCCTCAGATCCTGACCCACAGATTCCTTGGGTTCCACGCCTGAGAAAGGGTCAAGACCTACAGATGTGAGAGTGGGACAGAGCCAGCATCACTGTGGTCTGCCCAGCTGGCCTCTCCCTGGGGCTGCAGCTGACTCTGGAGATGGGCTTTAAACATCTAGTTGGGTGACTGAGGACAGGAAGTAGGGCAACAGAATGACATAATGAAGGGAAGAGCAGAGCGGGGAGGAGAAAAAGTTTGAATCTGGGACTTTTATTCTGAACCCCCACCCACAGTGGGGCAAAAGACAGGGGCAAGAGGGGGCAGGGTTTAATTGTGGGGGCATATTCTGGAAAGAGAAGCCCTGTAGAAAAAGAGAAGGGAGTGGAAAGGGGAGGGGGTTAGGAGAGACTCTAGGGCCCTCAGCCCCCCTCCCCCAGACTAAGATAAAGACTACAATCCTGAAAGGTGATCTCATCACACAGGGCTGGGAAGGTGCAGCAGAGGGTCATAGCCTGCACTTTCTACAGCCCCTTCCTCTGCTTACACAGGCCATCTGGGGAGAATGGGGTCCTGGGTTCCAGACAGGCAACAGAAGCTGGAGGTTGGGCCCCTTTGAAGACACCACCACCAGCACAACTGCCACCCCCACAAATCTCTGGGATTACCCTGAATGTCCATTCAGGCCAGTTTGCTGAAGACCCTGAGTTGAGGAGCTAGCTACTTTCGGGCTCTTGGTCAGCTGCCAAACGCAAAGAGGGGGTGTAACACAGCTTTCCCTATCCTACAACCGAGAAGCAAGAGAACTGGGGCAGAATGCCCCTGATCAGAAACCCCAAAGTCTTGGGGTTTTTAGTTCTTGCACTGTGGAGGAGGGAGCAGCAGCGGAACTCGGAGAGCGGGCAAAGTCCCTCCATCAAGCTGCCTGGAGCGCTCGGTACCTCTCTGCAGAGTCCCCAATCCAGCTGGCCTGAACCCAGGCACCCGGTGGCCCCGGAAGGCAAAGGGGAATCCCAGTTGGCCGGACGCCAGAGGAGTCCCCTGTCTCTCTAGACCCCAAAGCTTCTTCCTAGAAGAAGCGAGGGAGACCCCACACACAATATTCAGGCTCCCTCCGCCCTCCAGAGGTGATTCCTTTCCTCTTTAGGAAATTCTCCGCTCCCTTTTTCCGACTCCTTTTCCGAGCGTTTACGTTGGACATCTGGAAGGAGGGGGAGGAAGGAGGGGAAGCCGAGAGGAGGGCGAAGAGCCCGAGCCCGCCCAGTCTGAACCAGGCCAGACGGCCGGCCTCCAGCTGGGGCTGGGGCCAGAGGGTGCAGAGGTGCGGCCCCCCACGCCCCTTGGGGTGCTGGGCGCGGGCTCGGCGTCCCGGGGACCCAGGAATGCCCCCCCGCCAGCGCGCCCGGCGGCCGGGGGGAGGGCCCAGCCGGGAGTTTGGCAAACTCCTCCCCGTGTTGAGTCATTCGCCTCTGGGAGGTTTAGGAAGCGGCTCCGGGTCGGTGGCCCCTGGACAGGGAAGAGCGGGCGCTATGGGGAGCAGGACGCCACGGTCAGCTCTCCACGCGGAGCAGCTGAGCTGGGGCCCCGGGCGTCGCCGGCCGCTGCTGCCGCCGCTACTGCTGCTGCTGCTGCTGGGGTCGCCGCCACTCGGGGTCGGGGGCTTCAACCTCGAAGCAGAGGCCCCGGCCGTGCTCTCCGGGCCCCCGGGCTCCTTCTTCGGCTTCTCGGTGGAGTTCTACCGGCCAGGAACAGATGGGTGAGTGGCCAGGCTGCGCGCGGGAAGGGAGCAAGGGGGCCACCTGGAGCCTGGGGGCGCGCCTAGGGTCTGGAGGGGACCGGGGCTGAAGTTGGAGGGCGGAGTTTGGAAGGACTAGGGCTAGAGCTGGGGGCTCACGCTAGAGCTGGGGGCCGGCGCTGGAGCAGGAAGGGACCGTGGCCGACGTGGAGGGGCCCTGAAGTGTGAGATCGGTGGACAGACATGTGTCGAGTTGGGAGAGGACACGAAGCCAAAAGTTGGAGAAGTCTAGATCTCCGGGCCAACCGAGAGGAGAGCTCAGGGTCTCCAGCAGAGATCTGCAGGCTACGGGCGACCTGCGGCGGGTGGGAGCCCAGAGGGGCACCGAGGCCGGGTAGGGCTTCAGGGGGCACTGGAGGACCCTCAGGGTCCATGGGGCCATTGAGAGGGTCGAAGCTGGGGGAGCTGTGTGCAGTAAGAGTGGAAGACAGCCTGAGGGGGTCGGAAGGTTAACGTGGGGTCCAGCCTCATCCTCCCCTCCCCCTCTCAACTCCGACTCGGGAAAGAGACCCGGGAGGAGGACTGCTGCTCACTCCCCTTTCTCCTCACTCTCCTGCTGCGTCTCCCACCCCCAGTCTGTTCAGGCGTGGGGATCCGAGAACTTGGGGAGAGTCCCAGGACCCCTGGCCCTGGGGGCGCTGGGGCTAGGGGCGGGATCAACCCTGGGCGGTGCACGGATGTGTCGGGAGGGGTGTGTGTGCGCGCGCGCCTGTAGGGGGGTGGGCGGCTTCCCTCTTGCTCCGGCTCTGGGGAGGAAGAGAGAAGCTGATTTCCTGTAGCTTGTCGGCTGCAGTTGAACTGAGACCCAGACTTCTGGGACTGGGGTCGGAAACTAGAGAGATGAGGCCTCTTTGGGCATCCGAACGAAGGTTCCAAGGCTCCGGAAAATCTCTACAGAGTCATTTCCAACACAACAGGGTGACCGGCTGACCCGGACCCCGAACCGAGTGCCTGGAAAGCGGTGCCTACAGGCTTGGGTAGAGTTAGAGGCCACGTTGAAACAGCAGTTGTTTAAAAGAGAGGAGGAGGTTGGGAAGTAAGAGGAAGGGGACTGTCCCAGTTGCTGGGCCAGGGAACCCCTAGGCAGTAGATTCCAGAACCTCCAGGTTGACAGCAGTAGTCCGTTCTCCACTTCCAACCTCTGAACCTCCCTCTGCCCACACCCCTGACTGCACCCACTCTCAGGATCTCAAGGCTTGTAGGACCTTTGTCAGAGGTGAGCTGATGTTTCATTGTTTTCGGCTCAACTCTCTTTAGTTGGGATGTTGGGTTAGGATAACTAGCTAATTCACTTGGGGAAGGGGCAAACTTCTCCTTTGTCTGGGGGACTTAGGGATTGGGTAAAAAAAAGATAGGCCCCAGCTGTTGAATTGGGGCTTTTCAAGGTCCCCACCCAACCCCCACCCCACCCTCTGGCCTCTTGCCCAAACCCCATTGCATCACTCTGTCCTGGCGCCTCTGCCAGGCCTTGTCTCCCCCAGCATCCCCCCCAACTTTTTACCACAACCCCCATGGAACTGAAAGGATGAAGGGGAAAAGGGGTCTCTTCCCCCTCAGGGTGTCTAGTTGTCTGGCTTTTAACTTTCCCCATACCCACACTGCACCCTGTACAAGACTGTCATTTCCCTTTTAAAACTCTCCTCTAAAACATCTGGACTTCCCACTCCTGGTCCCCTAGGTGTATGTCTGGCCCCTGGCCTGATCCTTCAGTCTCTGAAGCCTCTTCTAAAACAGGACCCAAGCCTCCTCCCTTTTCCCCTCCCAAGAGAGCCCAGGTGTCCAGCATATACTCCTCCCCCTCCCATTTGCTCTGTGCAAAACCCTCTTAGAGCAACACTCAGCATGACCTCCCACCCAGCACCCCCTCCCCTTCCCAGGAGACAGCTTTACCCCTCTGTGGCTGTGGTCTTGGTGTTCTAGTCTCTCCTGCATCACCTCTCATGTCCAACAATGAAGCCGCCCCAGAGAACTGGGTGAGCACCACAGAGGTTGTACAGGCAAGAAGAGGCAAAGCCTGAAGCCAGGCAGCCCTGCAAGCCCTGGGACCTGGGACCAGGAACAAGTTACTTAAATCCTTGGGCCCTGGCCTTCCGATGAACAGGATGCCTAACTTATTCTAAGACTGAATGAGACTGTATATACAAAAGCTGCCGGTAACCAGGTGTGGCGATGCACACCTTTAACCCAGCACACAGGGGGTAGAGTCAGGTGGCCAGCCTAGTGTACATAAGTGAGTTTTGTGGGGTTTTTGGTCTTTTTGAGACAGGGTCTCCCTGTAGCCCCAGCTGTCCTGGAACTCACTATGTAGACCAGGCTGGCCTTAAACTCACAGAGATCTGCCTGCCTCTGCCTCCTAAGTGCTGGGATTAAAGGCATGCACTACCATGCCCGGCTGTAAGTGAGTTTTATTGAGAAATTTCCCTTTTCTGGTTCTGGTTTTCTCTTCTCAGGCAGCCACCTCATTCTCTGTTTAAGTAATCTCCCATTTCTTATGTGCACCTATTTATTTACTTATTTATTAACAAGTGCTCACATTTCCCAGGCTGGTCTCAAACTCTCTTTGTAGCCAAAGATGACCTTGAACTTCTGATCCTCCCACCTACACTTTTTGAGTGCCTGGATTATAGGCAGGCTCTATCATGCTCTGCACCACACACAGTTTATGCAGGGCTGGAAACTGAACCCAGAGCCTTAATGCATGCTGGGCAAGTACTCTACCAACTGGGCTCCATCCCTAGCCCTCTTAGGTACTTGCAGTACTTGCTAATAATTGTGATAGTACTAACAGTCCCTGGTGTTCCTTTATGCTTTCATACTGATTTCTCCACTGGATTATTACAAAAATTCTGTGCTGAGCAGAGAAAGCATTATCACCCCATTTTAGAGATATAAAAATTAGCCAGGCATATTGGTGCACACCTTTAATCCTAGCATTTGGGAGGCAGAGGCAGGTGGATCTTTGTGAGTTCGAGGCCAGCCTGGTCTACATAGTGACTTCCAGGACAGCTGGGGCTACAGGGAGACCTTGTCTCAAAAAGACCAGAAGGGAAAAAAAAAAACTAGCCAGGCATACTGGTGCACGCCTTTAATCTCAGTACTCGGCAGGCAGAGGCAGGTGGACATCAGTGAAATAGAAACCAACCTGGTCTACACAGTGAGCTCCAGACTAGCTGGGGTTACAGAGAGACCCTGTCTCCAGGAACCAAACAAGCAAACAAAAAATGCTGAAGCTTCAGAGAACATAAAAATTTAGAACTAGGGGCTGGAGAGATGGCTCAGTGGTTAAGAACACTGGTTGTTCTTGAAGAAGACCCAGGTTTGAATCCCAGCACCCACATGGCAGCTAACACCAGTCCTTAACTCCAGTTCCATCTGACAGCCTCTTCTGACCTCCGTGGGCATTGCACGACACGGGTGCACTTAACTACATGCAGGCAATACACATATACACATAAAATAAAAATAATAATTTTTTTTTTTAATTTACAACTAGAAGTTAGTTTAGGGACCATGCAAGAGCAACTCATCATTTTATAGGGAGAATTTAAGGCTTGAAAAGGGAAAGTGACTTGGTCCAGGACACTTGACAGTTTGAACTGTGGCCAGCAGAGCTCTTCCCAGCCACCCAGACACATCCCTTTGGAATGTACCTGGGGTCCCAGAAGTAAGCATCCCCCTCTGGCCTGGCCAGGGATGAGGAGGACTACAGCAGCTGTACCCTGGCCCGTCTGTTTTCCACTCTGACCTTGTCAAACTAAGAGAGTCAAACAGTAACTGAGTATTGAACAGGGGCTTGGTTAATTAGAAGCCTGGCTGGGGAGATAGTGAAGAAAGGAGGGGATACTTTGGCAGTGGGCAGAGCAGAACACCAGTCTAGGAACCAAAATTCCTGGCCTCTGTTCTCTTCCTGGGAAGGATTCTATGCAACCCTAGGGTGCGTAACTTCTCATGGATTTAGTTTTCCCATCTGTCAAATAAGATCATAAGACAAGGTCAGCAGTCTGGGGACTTATTGGGGAATGTCATGACCAAGATGGTCTTCGTTTACTGCATGCAGCAACCCCATGACGTCCACACTCATCCTAAAACCAGTGAATGCTCTCTGCAGTGGCTTTTACCTATGGTCATCTGTCTCCAAAGACTGACTAGAACCTCAGGAGGCAGAGGCAGGTGGATCTCTGGTGAGTTAGAGGCCGACCTGCTCTAAATAGCAAGTTCTAAGCCAGCAAGGACTACATAGTGAGACCCTGTCTCAAAAAAAATAGAAACTAAATGAAGTTTAATAAATAATGTCAATTATTCTTCCCTTGGTCTGTACTTTAGAAGGGTCTATCTGCCAAACTACATTTTGTAGGGGTAATTAATGGTCTTTTCATTTTTTTATGACCCAGAAGCATCTATAGCTGCCAATCAGAGCTTCTGACCAGTGTGAGATAACCAGGTTCCCCACATGAGTTGATATAATGCCAGCCCAAAGCAAATGCACTTGAAGTTTTAATTAGCCTGGCTGCCTTATCAGGTAAATGCATGGTTTCCGTTAGGCTTTCTAGCCCAAGGACCCTCCATTTTTACCTTCTTGGACTTGTGTGAGGACTCAGCTGCTGCAGGATTTGGGAAGCAGGAGGTAGGAGAGGGAGAGTAGAGAAAGGTAGGGTGCGTGACAGCCTGGTACCGGTTCTGGACCAGAGGAGTGGCCTGGTTCTCCCGGCACCCCCCTTGCTCTCTCCTCTCCCACCCCTAGGGCTGTAGCCTCACCCATTCTTACCTGACAAGGTCACCTGGCCCTTGGAATGGTGGTTCCCACCCCTAATTGGACTTAATGCTTTGAGTGAGAGGGGTGGGACCCAGAGGGTGGGAGACAAACGGAGAAGTGAGAGGTTGGGAACAGACAGGAAGCCACAAGCAGTAAACATTTCCTGTCCCCAGGGTAACTGAAGCTGGCACCTCCCCCCCCATAACTTCAGGCATTCCCAGTCCCATCTCCCCCAGTCCTGCTCCTCTGGACTCTGATTTTCTCATCTGCTCTCATGGACACCCCATCATACCCCATCAGTGTCCTGGAGGTCCACCTTCCCTGCTCCTTAGACTCTGGCCCCTCCCACTCAGTACACCTGGTCCTCCTGGAAAACACCCTGCCTTGGTGACCTCCGCTAAGCCCTCTCTGGGCCTGCCATCCTAGTGAGAAAGGTTGAGGAAGAGCCACATGTGGAGAAGGGGTGCGAAGAAGGGGTTAGTGCTGGAAGCGTTGGAAGCTGACCGGGACAGAGACCGTTAAATCGAGAATGCAAGCCGTGCTGAGGGCAGAGGGGCAGAAAGTTGAGAAGCAATGCCAGAGGCAGCGGGGGGAGGGGAGCAGAGGCCAAGGCTGGCAGGGACCCTGGCCTGGAGCCCGGGGTGCCAGGGCGAGCTGCCCAGGCTGCCAGATGGAGTCCTTACAGGAGACCCTGAAGAGAACATCAAGGGAGAGGGCTGTGTGGAGGCTTCGGAGGCAAGGAACCAAGGCTGGGGAGACCCAGCTGAAGGCAGGAGGAGGAGTGCCAGGACACCCCATCACAGGCAGCTTCTCCAATGGAGAAGAAACCAGACACATAGAATAGGATTTGAGTTCAGTCTTCTACGGCTGCTTGTAGAAAGGGGGCATGAGAGCTGAGGCAGGGCCCCAGCCAGTAAGGTGAGGTGGGTGGGGCAGGGCAGGGCAGGGCAGAACAGGTCCAGGGGAGCAGTCTGTTTTCCCTGTCCTCTAACTCCTCTCCACTTCTACTGCCTAGTTTCCAAGACTCACATTTTCCTCCTACACGCCCCAAGACTGAGTGGCCAGTCGCCTGGAGTCCCAGCCCAGGAGCAAGATTTAGCTTGGGAAGAGAGGTAGCCCGGGCTTCTGGGGCTAAATTGTTCCTTTAATACACACACACACACACACACACACACACACAATTTAATTTCCTACCAAAGGTCATGCATTGCAGTTGATTGTTACTGTTTTTCCTGGTGCTGAGCCTTGCGCATGCTACAACCAGGGTTGGGCTGGGCATCTAACCCTGAACAGGTAGATGGAGATGAGATGGAGAAAGAAACTGGGGTCCAGGCCTTCTGGCCCATCTTCCCCTTCCAGGAATTGACTCTGGTTCCTCCTCTCTAGTAATAGGGGAAGGTAATAGAGAGAATGTGGGAGGCGGGGAGGGGTGGGGTTAGTGACAGTAGCACATGGGGACTGCCTGACTCCAACCCCAGCCTCTGGCATCTATGGTATCTTCTGAGATATAAATACAACCCAAGGGGCATCTGCCCCACCCCCACCCCTGGCCCAAAGTCCTGGGTACTTCCTGCCTACAGTGACTGACCTGGAGCTAGGGCCCCCTTCTTTTTTTTTAAGTATTTTATTATTTATTTTTATGTATATGAGTGTATTGCCTGCATATGTGTAAGTGCACCCGTGTCGTGCAGTGCCTGTAGAGGTCAGAAGAGGGCGTCGGATCCCCTGGAACTGTTGTTAGGACCGTTGTTAGCTGCCATGTGGGCGCTGGGAATCGAACCCGGGTCCTCTGCAAGAGCAGTCAGCGCTCTTATCCGCTGAGCCAACTCTCCAGTCCTAGGACCCCCATCTTAACCACGTCTCTTTCCCCTTCACAGGGTTAGTGTTCTGGTGGGGGCGCCCAAGGCTAACACCAGCCAGCCAGGCGTGCTGCAGGGTGGTGCTGTCTACGTGTGTCCCTGGGGTGCCAGCCCTACCCCTTGCACCGCTATCGAATTTGACAGCAAAGGTAGGTTGGAGGAGTTCAAACCTGAGAGTAGGTAGGTGGGTGGGGCCTGAGGGCGCCTACAGCTCGGGGTGCAGCCTCGGTACCAGGACCACGTGCTCACCCAGCAGCAGCTCTGGTCCTCCAGCTCTGAGCAGTGGCTCCCCGTGGCACTCAGTCCGTGTTCCCAGCCCAGCCCAAGGAGGGCGGGCATGATTCAGAAACATGTGGCTCTCATTTCCACTGAATCACCCACAACTGGAGAGGCCAGGGCCATAACGCAGACAAAGGCGGGGAAGGCTCACAGAGAATTCTGTTCCTCTAGCTAAGAACTAAGAGATAATGCAGACACAGTGTGATTCAGCCCCTGCCCTGGGGAGCTCAGTCCCCAGAGGTAGATGAACACCAGGGATCTGCAGACGGTCAACTAACACTCACAGAGCTGTTGATCTGTGCCAGGCACTGTAATGAGCGCCTCACCTCCCTTGGCTCACTTAATCCTGCCAGCAACTGTATGAGGTATTATTATCCCCATCCTACAAGGGAGGAAGCAGAGGTTAAGTCACTTGTCCAAGGTCAGCCAGCTAGTAAATGGGACAGCAGGGATATGAACTCAAGCAGTCTGTGCTCAGTGATAGACTCGGGTGATGGGATGAGAAGAGGAGCTTATGAAAACGTGGAGGCAGGCCCAACGTGGTGGCGCACGCCTTTAATCCCAGCACTTGGGAGGGAGAGGCAAGCGGATCTCTATGAGTTCAAGGCCAGCCTGGTCTACATAGCAAGTTCCAGGTCAGCTGGGGCTACAGGGAGACCCTGTCTCAAAAAGACCAAAAAAAAAAAAAAAAAGAAGAAGAAGAAGCAAGAAAGAAAAAGAAAAAAAAGTGGAGCCCAATCAGTTTCTAAGTGGAGCTAGGGTAAAACCCAAAGTCTTATGTGCACTAAGCATGTGCTATGCCACTGAGCTGTACCCCTAGTTCCTAAACAGGCTGCTTTTAAAACACCTGAGCGCCAGACATAATCTCTGCAACTCAGGAGGCTGAGGTGGGAAGACTGCCAAAGGTTTACAGTGAGCCTGGGTTTCATAGTGAGACCCTGCCTCAAAACAAATCAGTGAAAAGCCTGAGACAGATGAGAGCGAGAGGAGTAAGAGCGACAGTGGTATAGAGGCAGAGGTTAGACCTGGAAAGAGACACAGACGAAGGTCTAGCAAGGAAGTGGAACAAGAAGCTGTTGGAGGCTCAGGCCTGGCTATAGAGTTACCCACTGGGAGGTAACCAGTCTGCCCTCACCACAGTGTCCTTACACCAGCTGGGAGGAAGCAAGAGGAGCTAGAGACAACTCTGGAAGCCCTAGCGCTTTTGTGAGTGTGTGTGTGTGTGTGTGTGGTATGTATGGTGTGTGTAGGTAGATAGTAGGTACATAGAGCAGGAACCAGTCAAGTCCAGCTTCACAAAGCAAACCAAAAGATCCTTCCCCATTACTGTCACAGTTGGTCCCAGGACCTCAGGGCTCAAGGTCTGGAAGTGCTGGGCATCTCTGAGCTAAGGTTGAGGGCCACCCCAGATGTCAGCTGCTGAGACCCAGCTTTTCCAACTTCCCCAGGCCCCCGGATCTTGGAGTCCTCACTGTCCAGTACCGAGGGAGCAGAGCCTTTAGAATACAAGTCCTTGCAGTGGTTTGGAGCAACAGTTCGAGCCCATGGCTCCTCCATCTTGGTGAGGGGCCAGTAGACTCAGTGGTGTGGTAGCTAGGGGATGGGCAGTGATGGAGAAGGCCAGGCCTGGAGGGAGGGGGAAGGGGCTTTACCAGGCTAAACCTGAAAACACCACCACTACCTTTCCAGGCCTGTGCTCCACTGTACAGCTGGCGCACAGAGAAGGCTGAGATACTGAACGACCCAGTGGGCACTTGCTACCTCTCCACGGATAACTTCACCCGGATTCTGGAGTATGCACCTTGTCGCTCAGGTAGGGGCTAGAGCGGCATGAGCTACAGTGCCTTCTCCATGTGAGGTGCTGACTCCCCATCCCCACCGTGCACCGTGAGCCTACATGTTCTAGCTTGCCCAGAAGGCCCCCCTCTGTTCTCCTTTCCTGCTCCCTGTCCGCGCCTCAATGCAGACCTCATTTCACCATCTTCTCCCCTCACAGATTTTGGCTGGGCAGCAGGGCAGGGTTACTGCCAAGGGGGCTTCAGTGCTGAGTTCACCAAGGTGAGAGGTGGTGCATGAGCTACAGTGCCTTCTCCATGTGAGGTGCTGACTCCCCATCCCCACCATGCACCGTGAGCCTACATGTTCTAGCTTGCCCAGGAGGCCCCCCTCTGTTCTCCTTTCCTGCTCCCTGTCCGCGCCTCAGTGCAGACCTCATTTCACCATCTTCTCCCCTCACAGATTTTGGCTGGGCAGCAGGGCAGGGTTACTGCCAAGGGGGCTTCAGTGCTGAGTTCACCAAGGTGAGAGGTGGTGGGGAGGACAGGCATTGAATGAGTACCCACACTCAACACCAGATACTGCACTCACCCCTCCCCTCCCCCATCTCTCACCCTCACAGTCCGGTCGTGTGGTACTGGGTGGACCTGGGAGCTACTTCTGGCAAGGTAAGTCCTTCCTTTGTGCTCCTCAGGCCCTAGCACCACCTTCTGTCCCTGTCCTGAAAGACTAGAATCACCAGTCCTCCTCCCCCTCTGCCCTCCCAGTTCCAGTCCTTCCTCTGGACCCACATTCTGCTCCAGCACTTTCCATATAGTTCCTTTCCTTGAACCAAACTTCTGAAATTCTACCCAGTCATCCCCAAAGCCCCTCTGCCACCTCCCCACCCATCCTCCCGCCCCTCTTCCAGGCCAGATCCTATCTGCTACTCAAGAGCAGATCTCAAAGTCCTATTACCCAGATTACTTCATCAACCCAGTACCGGGGCAGCTGCAGACCCGCCAAGCCAGCTCCATCTATGATGACAGCTACTTGGGTGAGTGAGCAGGTGGGGAGAGGCCGACAGGGGGTGACAGGAGGAACTCAGGGGTCCTGTCCTCACTCAGCCCTCACCTGCTTCTCCCACTTGGCACCACCAGTTTTGCTGCCATGTTTATCATGTACAGGCTGACTGAAAGGATTGAGGGGCCAGGGCAGGGGGGTGCCCAAGGCAGCAATGCTAAGATTCACCTACTCTGTCCCCCAGGATACTCTGTGGCTGTAGGTGAATTCAGTGGTGATGACACAGAAGGTAAGTATGTGCCCAGTCTGGACCAAGGAAGGGGCAGAGAGAGAGCTGGGACCTGGGGCCCACAGCCCTGACACACTGTGTGTTGAGGCTACCCTCGCCTCACCTTAGCCCATCAGTTTCTTTTCTTTTTGCAGACTTTGTTGCTGGTGTGCCCAAAGGGAACCTCACCTATGGCTATGTAAGACCCTATCCTGCCTCTGTGTGTGTGTGTGTGTGTGTGTGTGTGTGTCCCCGGCTAAGTGAGGAGCCATACATGGCAGCTTATAGGGGCTTATAGGGTGCCGCAGAACACGGGCTCTGGGGAGGGTGGAGGGTGGGCAGGATTTCAAGAGTCAGGAAGGGAAGTGTGTGAAGTCAGACCTAGGTTCAGGTTCTGGCTCTGACTCTGGATGAGTTATTCTGTTCTTATTCCTACTCTGCTCCCTGCTTGACCTCTCTAAGCTGCCTCTTCCCTGTACAATGGGATAATAATAGTTCTGACCTCACAAGGCATTTGTAAGGGGAATGAGATAGTGCCTAGGAAAGCACTTGTGAATCGTTAGGCAGTGTACAACAGGCAGCTGCTATTATTAGACCAAGACAAGTGCCTGAACAGATGAGTACCACACACGTTCACTCAATTAGCAACATTTATTAAGGCGAGGTGAGAGGAAAAGATGAAGGCCTCTTACGGCATCTCATAAGGTGCTTCTAATCAAGTGCGTGAGCTAAGACAGTTTTCGTGTTGGGGAGCTGCTGCTCGTGAGCCTCCCGATGCCCAGGCACTGTCCATTCACCATGCTGTTCCCCACAACAGCGCTGTGGGGTAGAGAGTAGCTAGCACAGTTTGCACATGAGAAAACTGTGGTGTAAGAAACCAAGTCAGTTGCTTGAGGTCATCCAGTTAATAAGCAGATGAATAAAGATTTAAATCCAGGCCTACCATATACCAAAACCCATATTCTCTCTGAACTGTAGGTTTTAGAAAAGCGATCAAGGTAAGAGCACACATGGTTTTGGGAAGATGCAACCTCTTTCAAGAGAGAGTGGGTCAGAGAAGGTTCTGCGAAGGATTCACAGAGATGAGGCAAGAGGGCATCCCAACCATAAGTGTGAAGGGTACAGAGCAGAACTCTAGGTCTAGTTTGCAGCCTCATGGGCTGACTGAGGGTGAGGGGGATAAGGGAGTGCCAAGCAAGCATAGGCAGTGGTAAGGCCAGACACCAGAGCCTCAGAGGACCAGCCAAGAGGTAGAGACTAACAGGAGACTCCAGGGAACCTCTGGAGTGTGCAGGCTAGACTGGCTATAGCGGGGAAGCCTAGGCATGGAGGCTGGCTGGCTGCAGTCCTGGGGGTAGCTCACGCCAGGCCACAGCAGAACAGTGGGTCAGAGAGCAGGATCCAAGAAACTTGGGGTCCTTGGCTAAAAGGAGACAGAGGAGATATGAGTGGCCTGGGGGGACTGGTAAGCAAAGGATGGCTCAAGTTTTGAACCTGTCGGGTTGGAGGCTCCAGGGTGTATTCAGTCATAATTACTGAGGGTCGGCTTCTTACCAAGCTCTGCTTTAGTTTCTGAGGAGAATCGAAAACCAAAACTGTACTTCCCCAACTGATCATAAATTCTCATGGATAGGGATGGAAATCCTAAGTAACTGATCAGGTACAGGAAAAAAACCAAGAAGCACCCAGAGGGTGGTTAAAGCCTGGAGATGGAAGGGATGGGCAAACTGGGAGGGAGAAAGACGAGTGCTCGGTGCCTCTGAGGAACCATTTGTTCTTGAACTGTGGGATGTTTAGGACCAACAGGCCTTTCTCCTCAGGTCACCATCCTGAATGGCTCAGACATCCACTCTCTCTACAACTTCTCAGGGGAACAGGTGAGGACACCCCACCTCACCCCTCTTGAACCTCACCCCTCTTGAACCTCAGCCCTGAACCAATAATGTCAAACTTCCCAGCCTCCCTGGAGCCTCTGAATATCCAATCATAGCCCCTCTTGATCCTGTTCATTGACCCCAACCTTGTTCCTGCCCTTGCCCTCCACAGATGGCCTCCTACTTTGGCTATGCTGTGGCTGCCACTGACATCAACGGGGACGGGTGAGTGGTGAGAAAGGGGTGCACCTTCCAGATCCAGGAGGAGAGAGTGGACTGGGACAGTGACAGCGCAGGCTGAGAGGTCCTCAGCGAGTTTGCTCTGGACTCTCATTCATGTTCGCCTTCCTTGGTCAGGGCAGAGGAGGGCTGGCTACGACATCAGAACCCTCAAGTCTGACTTGTGGGAGGCTCCTGGGGATCCAGGATGCCTGGGACTTTCTGCACAAGGACAGTGGGAAGTGGTAACAGGGTACCAAGATGCCTGGGTCTGCTCTTCCTCCAGGCTGGATGACCTGCTGGTGGGGGCACCCCTGCTCATGGAGCGGACGGCTGATGGTCGGCCTCAGGAGGTAGGCAGGGTTTATGTCTACCTTCAGCACCCGGCTGGCATAGAACCTGGACCCACCTTCGCCCTCACTGGCCAAGATGAGTTTGGCCGATTTGGCAGCTCCTTGACACCCCTGGGGGACCTGGACCAGGATGGCTATAATGGTAAGCACCATGACTCAGGAGGCTGAATGGGGGGTGGGTCTTTGACACCCCTGGGGGAGGGTGTCAGCTCATTTCCCAGCCCTTGACTCCTCAGGGATAGTTGAACTTTAGTCCCAGTATCTGGGTTTTGAAGAGATTAGAACAGAGATTGACAGACAGATAGGGGAAAAAAAATAGGTTCCTGGAAGGGATTTCTATCTCTGTACTCCATGTCTTCTGCTCTGCCTTGCAGATGTGGCTATTGGGGCTCCCTTTGGTGGGGAAACCCAGCAGGGAGTCGTGTTCATATTCCCCGGAGGCCCAGGAGGACTAGGCTCTAAGCCTTCCCAGGTTCTTCAGCCCCTGTGGGCAACTGGCCACACCCCAGACTTCTTTGGCTCTGCTCTCAGAGGAGGCCGAGATCTGGATGGCAATGGATACCCTGGTGAGTTGTGTCCCACACCCCTTTCATCTTATTCACTGGACTCCTCCACTTCTTTCCTAAGCTCCGGGGTGCAGTTCTAGGCTGTTGTCACCAGGTGGCGCAGTTCCCTCACTTGGGCTTCTTTGGTAGTGAAAGAGAAGGCCTAGGAAGAACGGATCCTGATTTGGGGCTTGCTGTAAAGGGCTGTGTCTTGGCTTCTTGCAGATCTGATTGTGGGGTCCTTTGGTGTGGACAAGGCTCTGGTATACAGGTATGAACTCAGGGAGACTGAGGCAGACTGGGGAAACTGGGAACTACAGTGTCCTGGGAACTGGGAGTTCTGAATGGGGAAGGAGCTAAGACTGCCCAGGGAACTGGCATCCTGAGGCCCAGGCCTATCCCTGAGAGGAGCTTCAACTCTATTTACCCTGCATCCACTCTCGCCAGGGGTCGCCCCATCGTTTCTGTCAGCGCATCCCTCTACATCTTCCCTGCCATGTTCAATCCAGAGGAGCGCAGCTGCAGCTTGGAGGGAAATCCTGTGTCCTGGTGAGCTGAGCCAGGAGCCTGCAGAGATCTGTGCCTTCGAGGGGGCAGGGGGGCCACGTCTGCCTCAGGAGGGAACAAGTGGGAATGTCCTAGCCTGGGCTCCCGTTGCACTCAGTGTATTCTCCTTGGCCTTTCTTCAGTATCAACCTTAGCTTCTGCCTCAATGCCTCGGGAAAACACGTCCCCAACTCCATAGGTAAGGGACACTTCTGAGTGTGTCGGGCCTGGGGTGGGATGGAGGGACTGAGTAGAACAGGAGGGAGACGCAGACGAACACTGTGCGTCCCGACTACAGGCTTGGCGGTGGAGCTGCAGCTGGACTGGCAGAAACAGAAGGGAGGGATCCGGCGGGCGCTGTTCCTGGCCTCCAAGCAGGCCACCTTTACACAGACCCTGTTCATCCAGAATGGGGCTCGAGAGGACTGTAGGGAGATGAAGATCTACCTCAGGGTATGGTCCTGAGGGTGGGGGTGCCCTGACCATGGGGGATGACCACACAAGAACAGATGCCCTCCTAAGGCGGGGAGGGTCTGATGGGGTTGGGACCCCCCACTCCCCAGAGGGCTTGAGGCTCTCAAGAGGCTAAGGAAGGAGCCCTTCTGTCAGAAGAGCTGGGGACCAGGTGCCAAGGCCTCCAGAGCAGTGAAGTGTCAGAATTGGGCCTTAAGCAGATAAAGGGGGAAGTGAGGCTAAGGAGAAGGCCACTTAGGCCCCAGAGCCTCTGACCCTGTATACTCTCTCCCCTGGCCCTAGAACGAGTCAGAATTCCGAGACAAACTCTCCCCGATTCACATTGCTCTCAACTTCTCCTTGGACCCCAAAGCCCCCACGGATAGCCATGGCCTCCAGCCAGTCTTACATTACCAGACCAAGAGCCGGATAGAGGACAAGGTAAGGAATAACCGGAGGGGGACAGGCCTGGCACCCGGAGTGGAGCCCTGGGGAGAGGTGCCTGCAACCCTGGGATCATGGGTCCTCTCTCAAGGCTGTTCTGCTCCCCAGGCCCAGATCTTGCTGGACTGTGGTGAAGATAACATCTGTGTGCCTGACCTGCAGCTGGAGGTGTACGGGTGAGTAGGGCCCCCTTGTCCTGGCTTGAAGAGTCATATCTCAGCGTCCTTACCCTGTGTGTCCCCTCCACCAGGGATAAGAAACATGTGTACCTCGGTGACAAGAACTCACTGAATCTGACTTTCCATGCCCAGAATCTGGGTGAGGGTGGTGCCTATGAAGCAGAGCTTCGGGTCACGGCCCCTCTGGAGGCCGAATACTCAGGACTCGTCAGACACCCAGGGGTGAGAAAGGACTCTCAAGTGGGGCTGGGGTGGCGCTACCTCTCCAGAGGGACGACAAAGACTGATTGACCTATGCCTACCCACCCCTAGAATTTTTCCAGCCTGAGCTGCGACTATTCCGCTGTGAACCAGAGCCGCCTGCTCGTGTGTGACCTGGGCAACCCCATGAAGGCAGGTGCCAATGTAAGTCAGGTGGAAGAGGAGGGGCTGTGTGAGAGGACACGGGAGCGAAGCCAGTCCAGAGCTTAGTTAGATACCCACTCTCACAGCCCCTTTCCACTCCCTGTCACACAGCTCTGGGGTGGCCTTCGCTTCACAGTTCCTCATGTTCGGGACACTAAGAAAACCATCCAGTTTGACTTTCAGATCCTCAGGTAGGAAGTGGGTGGGGCAGAGGGAAGGGTAGAGTAGGGAGAGTGGTACGGGGGCCAGTGTGGGCCCAGGAGATTCCTGGCTCTGCCTCAGTCTTGCCTCCATCCCACAGCAAGAACCTGAACAACTCCCAGAGCAACATGTTCTCCTTCCTACTCTCTGTGGAGGCTCACGCAGAAGTCTCCCTTAATGGGTAAGTACCCAGGCAGAATGGGGCCTTTCAGAGGAGTGATAGACTTCTGGGGAAGAACACATAGGCCCTTCCTGCCCCCTCTAAATCACCCTCCTCCTCAGTGTCTCCAAGCCTGAGTCCGTGCTCTTCCCAGTCAGTGACTGGCATCCCCGAGACCAGCCTCAGAAGGAGGAAGACCTGGGCCCGGCTGTCCACCATGTCTATGAGGTGAGAAGGGTGGGGGGAGTCAATGAGGGGAAAGAGAAGGAGGAACTAGCATAAGTGAGTGACAGCCCCTGGGATCAGAGTGAGGAGGGGGAGGAAGAGAGGAGGGCTCAGTGAATGCCAAAGGTTCCTGAGAGATGGCCAGAGGAAGGACAACCCAGCCCTCTACTTGGGAAGGACTGTCTATCAGTGTTGGCTAAGGCAGACCTGGAAGGCCGGCACTCAAGAGGCTGAGGTGAGAGGATTGCTGTGAGGTCTAGGCCAGACTAGTCCTAGCTACAGAGTGAGACCCTATCTTAAGGGCATTGGCTGAAGTGGGCTTTATCATTGCCCTCATGTTCCTCTGCTCCTGAGACAGGAGCTCTGGGACAGGATATGGGGGTGGTGAGCCAGGCCTGTGTGCTGGGGAAGCCTCCCTTCCTTACCCTTACTCATCTTCCTCAGCTCATCAACCAGGGCCCCAGCTCCATCAGCCAGGGTGTACTGGAGCTCAGCTGTCCCCAGGCCCTGGAAGGCCAGCAGCTCCTCTATGTGACCAAGGTGACAGGACTCAGCAACTGTACCTCCAACTATACCCCCAACTCACAGGGCCTGGAGGTGAGGACACCGACATGGGGTGGAGGAGGGCCTTTGGGGAAGGTCACCAGGAGGCCACTGGAATAGTTGGGAGACACAGGCCTATCAAAGCTCTGGAAAAGAAAAAGGCCCTTATCCAGCACATTTGCCTCTTTCTACTTAAGTACCCTTCTCTGTGTCCTGGTGTGCTCCTGGACCCAGATCTGTGCCCCCTCTGCCTCCAAGCCTTCTTCAGGCCTGTCCTTCCTCTCCTGCCCTGTGCCTTTTTTTTTCCATTTATATTTTTAATGTGTATGAATGTTTTGCCTGACTGTATGCTAAGTGCACCCACGCATACAATGCCTGATGAGGCCAGATAAGGGCATCAGAGTCCCTAGTACTGGAGTTACAGATGGAGATGGTTGTTAGCTGCTGTGTGGGTGCTGGGAACTCAACCTGGGTCTTCTGCAAAAGCATCCAGTGCTTTTAACTGCTGAGCCATCTCTCCAGCCCCCGCCATGCCTGTTTTATAGTGTGTTTATTCACTTCGTGGAACGAGTATATTAAAGTGAACACTGCCGAGACTGGAAAAAAAAATACCAAATGAAATGAGCAAGGTCCCCACACTCCTGAAGCTTGTGTTCTGGTGGAGGCTGATAGACTATAAAAATAGAAAGAAAATTCAGGTATTGAAAAGTGATGAAGCCGGGTGTGGTGGTGAACACCTGTAATCCTGGTACTTGGTAGGAGGATGAGAAGTTCGAGGTTATCCTCAGCTGCATAGTGAGTTCAAGGTCATCCTGGGCTACATGACACCCTGAGTATAAAAATGAAAAGATGCAAAACAAAAGAACAAAAGCCGACATGGTGGCACAGACCTTTAATCCCAGCACGCGGGAGGCAGAGGCAGGTGGATCTCTGTGAGTTCGAGGCCAGTGGTCTACATTAAAAATGAAAAGATGCAAAACAAAAGAACAAAAGCCGACATGGTGGCACAGACCTTTAATCCCAGCACGCGGGAGGCAGAGGCAGGTGGATCTCTGTGAGTTCGAGGCCAGCCTGGTCTACATAGTGTGTTCCAGGACAGCTGGGGCTACAGGGAGACCCTGTCTCAAAAAGACCAAAAAAAAGAAAAGATGGACTGAAAAGTGGCAGAGCTAAGTAGGCACATATTGACATGTGCAGCAAAGGAGCTGAAGGAAGCAGGACAGCCAGCGAAGGCTACGTGGTGAGACTCTGGAAAGAGGGAGGGAAGAAGATAAGGAGAGAAGGGGGTAGGGAGGAAGGCAAACTTGGCTAATATGCTATGAGTCATAAAATTGACTTAGGAGAGTAAACCTCTTCAAAAGGTAGCCAGTAGCCAGGCAGAGCACTTGCCTAGCATGTACAAGGCCCTGGGTTCAATCCTGGCACTGCTAAATAACTAAGTAAATAAAGTGAGACAGGGTACAAACATTTCCAAATGGAGGAACAGCCTGTGCAAAGGCCCTGAGGCAGGAGGGACTTACTGACTTGTGTGTACATCTCCATGTAAACACAGTGTGTGAAGATGGGTGGGTGGACTCAGAGACAGAAACAAAGAAGCAAGTCCCCACTGCTCTGGAACCCTGGTGCAGGCTGACTTAGGTGTGTAATGAGGCAGCTAAGGGTTAGCTCTCTTCCAGCTGGCTCCGGAGGGCTCCCCACACCATCTGCAGAAACGAGAGGCTCCAGGCTGGAGTCCTGCCTCCTCAGGGCCACAGATCCTGGTAAGTTATGCGGGGAGGGAGGCAGGCCCCAAGGTCTGGGTAGCTGTTTGAGTTCTCTGGATGGCCAGAATTCTAGGTTCAAACTTCTTTCTTGCAAGAAATGTCCTGAAGCTAAGTGTTTCAGCCTTCGCTGTGAGCTGGGGTTTCTGCAGCGACAGGAGAGCCGAAGTCTGCAGCTGCATTTCCGAGTCTGGGCCAAGACCTTCCTGCAGGTAGGTGAGGGAACCGTGTGCAGCCCGAACCCTGACTTTCAGGCCTGCCTGGACGACATGGCCCTTTCCCTGCTGCCCTTCGCACACATACACACTCGCCTTCAGGCCTGCCTGAACTGGGGCCCTTTTCCTGCTGCCCTTTCACCTCTCCTTTAATGCACGGTGGGCACCACGCAGGGCACATAGCTCCCCTCCCTTACCCTGGTTTAGCCCAGCATGTGTCCTTGGCGCCACCTCGTGGCCACAGTAGGAGCAACTGGTTCCCTTTCTGGCCCAGCTAACTGATAGACTAGCATGTAGAGAATGAGAAACAGGACAGGGACCTGAGGGTGTAGAGGGGTAGTAGAGTGTTTACCTAGCACACCCAGGATCATGAGAGAGGCTGGGTCCATGGGTGAAGCATTTGCCATGGAAAGAGAAGGCTGAGATTCAAATCCCCAGCACTGACATGCATGCCTAGTTAGTGTAGCAGCCCACCTGTGTGTGATTCCAGCATGCTGGAGGCAGAAACAGGGGGACCCCAGAAGAAGCTGGCCAGCCAGTGTAGGCAAGACCAAAAGGTCGGGGTTCACAGAGACACCCTGCCCCCTGATACATAAGGTCGAGCCCCATCAAGAAAGACACTTCTGACATCAGCCTCCAGTGTTCACACACATAAACCAGAAAGAGAGAGAGAGAGAGAGAGAGGGAGAGGGAGAGGAGGGCCAGTGAGGTTGCTCAGTGAGTGAGTGGGTAAAAGTGCCTGCCTCCAACCCTGACAACCTGAGTTTGATCCCTAGGACCCATTCCCTTGAGTTGTCATCTGACCTCCACATGCATGCATGAATGAGTGAGTTAGTGAGTGAGGGAGTGAATAAATGAATGAATGAAACATGGGCTGGGGAGATGGTTCAACAGGTAAAAATGCTAGTCAACTGCTCGAGTCTGATGATTTGACTTTGATTCCCAGAACCCACAGAAAAAGAAGGGTTCAGTGGATCAGTGAGCCTGGAGTATGCTTTACAGTGGCAGAAATTAGAAAGACCCAGCCTGAACAAGTTGTCTTCTGACCTCCATGTGCATGCAGTGGTACATGCATGTGCACACCTGCACACACACAGACACACAGAGTAATTTTTTTTTAAGTAAAGACTAGGTAGACCAGATACTATGACTCATACCTATAAATCCCATCATTTGAAAGGCTAAGGCAAGAGAATTGCCATGAGTTCCTGGCCAGCATGGGCTATCAAGTGAGACCCTGCCTCAAAGAACAGAAAAAGGAGGGGCTTGATAGTGTACACCTTTAATCCCAGCTCTCTGGAAGTAGAGGCAGGAGGATCTCTCTGAGATTGAGGTCAGCCTGGTCTAGAAAGTTCTAGGCCAGCTATGACTACAGGAAGACCCTGTCTCAAAAAAAAAAAAAAATGGGGCTAAAAAGATGACTCAGTGGTTAAGAACACTGGCTGCCCTTGAAGAGGACCTGGGTTGAGTTCCCAACACCCACATGACCACTAACAGCTATCTGTCACTCCAGTTCCAGAAACTCTGGGTTCTCTTCTGGCCTTTGTGGGCATCATATGGATGTGGTACACTCATACATGTAGACAAAACACTCATATTTAAAGACTTTTACTGGAACTGGTGACACAGGCCTGCAATCCCAGCTACTCAAAAGGTTGAAGTTAGAAGACCAAAGGTTCAAGGCCAACCTGGGCAACATAGTGAGACTCTGTCTCAGAATAATAAAAAAAGTGCTGGAGGAGCTAGAGAAATGGCTCAGCAGTTAAGAGCACTTGTTGCTGTTGCAGAGGACCCAGGTTGGAGTCCCGGCACCCACATGGTGACTAACAGCTGTCTGTAAGACCAGATCCAGGGAATCCAACACCCTCTTCTGACTTCTGTGGGCTTTGCACAGCATGGGTGCACTCACACACATGTAGGCAATACACTCATATACATAAATTTTTAAAAGAATGTGCCAGAAAGGGGGCCAGCTTTGGGAGATGGCTCAGTGGACAAAGTGCCTGCCACACAGGCATGAGTGCCTGAGTTCGGGTCCTCAGCACCCACATAAAAGCTTGTGTTGTGGCATGCCTCTGTAACCCTAGAGCTAGTGGGAGCAGAGACAGGCAGAGCTCAAGAGCTCAATGGCCAGTCTAGACAATTAGTGAGCTCTTGGCTCACCCTTGTCCCCAAAAAATCCAGGGGATCTGACACCCTCTTCTGGCCTCTGCAGGACATTGCACACACATGGTGCATTTACATACATGCAAGCAAAACACTCATACATATAAAATAAAAATAATAAAATATTTTTTAAAATAAGGTAGAGAGTGATTGAGGAAAACACCACCTCTAGCTTTCACACACACACATGTGCACACCTACACATGTATGTTAAAGAGCTGGGGATATAGCTCACTGGTGGATCTAGAACACAAAGTTGTAGGTTTAATTCCCAACACCAAACCAGCATGAAAGAAAGAATAGGGGACAAAGCCAGTGAGGTGACTCAGCAGGTAAGAGTGCTTGCCACCAAGCCTGACAACCTGAGTTCAGTCTCCAGGACCCATGTGGTAGGAGAGAACTGACTCCAGCGTGTACACATACATGCACAAAGTAAATGTAATTTAAAAAAATTTTTAAAGAAAGTTGGAGATGAGCCAGGTGTTGGTGGCTTACACCTTTAATCCCAGCACTTGGGAAGCAGAGGCAGGCGGAACTCTGAGTTCAAGGCTAGCCTGGTCTGCATAGTGAGTTCCAGGCCAGCTGGGGCTACCTAGGACCAAAGCCATGGTTCTAGGTGATAACCCCATTAATGATTCAACAGAATTCTTTTGTTGTTGGGGTTTTTGGGTTTTTTTGTTTTTGTTTTTGTTTGGGTTTTTTTTTTTTTTTTGGTCTTTTTGAGACAGGGTCCCTGTATCCCCAGCTGACCTGGAACTCACTGTGTAGACCAGGCTGGCCTTGAACTCAGAGATCCACCTGCCTCTGCCTCCCAAGTGCCAGGAGTAAAGGTGGGCGCCACCACGCCCAGCTAAGAATTCTTATTGAACATGTAGTCACATGATTATATATTATTTAGTTATAATTACTCAATTTCACATTTATTATCTCATGTAAGAAACATCAGGAGAGAATGAGTCCATTATAGGGAACGATCACAGCCTAAGACAGACCATGGGGAAAGCCCTGTGTCCTCTAGATTCCACAAGGGCTACCCTGACCACCTTTCCCCACCTGTAGCAGGAGCACCAGCCGTTTAGCCTGCAGTGTGAAGCTGTGTTTGAAGTCCTGAAGATGCCGTACCAAATCCTGCCTCAGCAGATACCACAAAAGAAACTTCAGGTGAGTTCAGAGTCGGTGATCTGGGTCAAGGAACACAGGCCTAATGATGTCAGCAGCAGGAGTGGGACACAGGTAAAGGCTAGTCTTCTGTTGCAGCAAGAAGTTACTGAGCATCTTCTCTATGTCAGGAACTGTGTAGGTCCAGAGATAACCGACCGGTCAGAGCAACACGGGTCTCTGCTCTTGGATTTCATAGCCTAGTGGGCAGCGGCAAATGCCAGGCAGTTTATAGAAATCCATCACAGGAACACCTGAATCTTCAGGATCAGGGAAGGCTTCCTGGAAGGAGCATAGAATCTGAGACCTGAAGAAACCAACCAGGTTGACAGTTCAAGAAGATTCTTGGGAGAGGGAACAGTGCATGTGAACCTGCAAAAGCAAGAGACAATATTGCACAGCAGACTTCCATCTTTGGGTTCACAATGCTGTTAGCTCAAAATGACAGCTAAGTAAGTCCAGATCCAGCAACCAGAGGGAGCCAAGTGTAGGGTAGGAAGAATTTGTGGCTTCAGTGTCACCTGACTTGTCCCCCAGGTGGCCACAGCTGTGCAGTGGAGCAGGGCAGAAGGCAACGGTGTGCCCCTCTGGATCATTATCCTAGCTGTCCTTTTCGGCCTCCTGCTTCTAGGTCTGCTCATCTACATCCTCTACAAGGTGAGCCGCATCCTGCCCTTGACCCAGCAAACCCCAAGTATCCACCTCAGATCCGTTTTCCAGCATAGGCCCTCACCACTGCCCTGGCTACTCAAACCCCATCCATGCTGTCTCCTAGGACCCCTGCCTTCAATCAGCCCCTAGCTTACAAAGAGTCCTCCTGTCTCTGGATAAATTTGTCCATATTGGAAAGTCACAGATGACAAACACATGACATTTGTGCTGTCACTTGCTCCAAAAATCTGAGGCAGCCATCAGTAAATGATCACAGATTTCCCAAAGTGGCCTGGAGTCCCCAGGTAGCAGCCACTGCTAGGCAGTCAGATGTGGCACCTCAGCTGAACCTATTTGCCCTTCCTGGGTTAACTGGGGGCATTTTTAAGCTTAAGTGTAGGGTAGGAAGAATTTGTGGCTTCAGTGTCACCCGACTTGTTCCCCAGGTGGCCACAGCCGTGCAGTATTAGTAAGAGTGATATTAGTAAGAGTCCACCGTAATTAATCACCCCTGCCCTTATGCCCATTCCCTTGGAGAAGCATCTTAGTGAACATAGAAGCCACTTTGACAGGATAGGGAGGTCGGAGGCAGGAGAGTTTTCATTCCCCTGGAATGTGATCTCTCAATGTGCCTCTTTCTCTTAATCAGCTTGGCTTCTTCAAACGCTCCCTCCCGTACGGAACTGCCATGGAAAAAGCCCAGCTCAAGCCTCCAGCCACCTCCGATGCCTGAGTCCTCCTGATCCCAGACTCCCAATCTGAAGAGCCAGTCCCCAACAGGGAGGGGACCAGGCACTTCCTGAAGGTGCTGAGGGCTGGGGAGAAGTTCCCTAGCCCAGAGACATACTTGAAGGGCCAGAGCTGGGGGGCGAGAAGCTGGGGATCCCTCCCCCTATGCACTGTGAAGGACCCTCGTTTACATATGCCCTCTCACGGATGGGGGCCTCAGGTCCAGGGACAGAAGCCCCAGCCTTCCTACAGCCTTTGCATTATGGAGACTTTCCTGAAAACAAGTTGGAGTAGGGAATCCAGTTGTGGTTCTTTGGGCCAGGCATGCCACCCGACTTCCTGTGTAGCACCAGCCTGCAGAGATGCAACTTTGGCCTTCCCAGAGATCCAAAGGAGGCCCACAGCTAAGAATCTGGGACTCGGGGAGTGAGACCTGGGAGCTCCACAGCCTCCATCCTGGAGGGCCAACAGAGAACACTAACTGGATGGTACTCCAGGACCAGCTCAGGACAGATCCCGAAGGTGGATGGTGGCCCAGATCCATCTCCAGGGGAGTGAGAATGAGAATGGAGCCAGATCCAGTGTGGAACCTGGGGTTGATCTGGAGCCCAGCCTCAGACACTGAGAGCCTAAGCCAGCAGATCCAGAACTGCATTTGGGTCTGCTTGAGACCTGGAACTTTGGCCTATTTCATCCCCGACTTAGGACAAGTCAGAACTCGCCCAGGACACAAATGGCAACAGACCTGGAACCTCAGCCTGGCCAGATGCAGGCTCACTCATTCTCCAGAGGAAAGGGAGCCCCAGGCCTGCAGGACCTGGGTTCTGCCCACCAGCTGCACTGACGCTGCCCCTCCTTCCCTGTCCTACCCTCCCCTCAGCTCTAGACCCACCCCTAAAACTTATTTAAACTCTGTTGCAAGTGCAATAAACCCTACCCACTGCCCCACTGACCGAAGCTGCAGTTTATCCTTCCATCCTACTTTCTGAACCCATCCTAGAAACAGGAAGCATAGCAAGGAGATGCCTGTGTCCTATGCCCTGTTCCCCCTGGAGCCAGGAGTGCGACCCCTAGGACTGTAGGTGATTGAAGGGAACTGGGTGTGGTGACATCAGTTTGGAATCTCAGCACTCTGGACATGGAGGCAGGAGGATCAGAAGTTCAGGGTCATCCTTGGCTACATACATTCTGTGCATTGTTCAAGGCTAGGCTGGGCTACCTGAGACACTGTCTCCAAAATACATAAAGGTGAGAAAGGAGGGCTTGTTTACTTTGCCTCTCATCCAGCCCCAACCAGATCTGGTCTTCCCTACCACCAAGGGAGAAAGAGAAGGAACTCCTCCTTGGGTTTGCTGATACAGACGAAATGCAGAGGGGCAGGTCCAAATGGAGGCGGTGACACAGGACACTCACGTGGGCTTCCCTGAAAAGAGCAAAAGGGGGACAGGACATGGGACTAAATTGGAAGAATACCTGTTAGGTTGAGTTTGTTTTTCACATTTTTAAATATTTACTTTTACGTGTATGAGGGTTTTGTCTGCATGTATATATGTGCACTACATGTGTGCCTGGTGCCCATGGAGGTTGGATCCACTGGAACTGGAATCAATGCCGATTGAGAGCTGAACCCAGGTCCTCAACAAAAACAGTAAGTGCTCAAAACCACGGAGCCATGTCTCCAGCCCCAGGCTTTTACAGTTGGACAGGGGGACATGCCATGCACAATTTGGAAGTCAGAGGATAAGGTTCAGGAAACAGTTCTGCCGTGTGAGTTTTGGGGATCAAACTCAAGTCCAGGTTTGCCCTTTAATTGCTGAGCCATTTTGCCAACCCCTTTGGGTTTTTGTTCTGTTTTAACTGCTATCATGTGGTAGTGCAAGGAGGAAAGGGTGTTAAATAGTTCACTATGACCTCATCTAATTTCTGTGTCTCTGTGTGTGTGCACATGCGAGTTCCACCTCACCAAAAGGGAGATCAGAAGACAACTTTGAGTGTCGGTCCTCACCTTTCACCTCACTTGAGATAGGGCCTCTCATGTTCACCACTGAGTACATCAGGCTAGCTGGCCTGCAAGCCTCCAGCTCTTTTCTGGTTACCTCCGTCTCCCAGTAGGAACCATTATGCTACTGTGTCTGGCTTTTATATGGGTTCTGGGGAGTCGAACTCAGGCTATCAGGTTTGTGTGACAAGTGCTTTACCCACTGAGCCATCTCCCCAGCCCAGGTCTCATCTAATATCTATCAATACTGTAAAGTAGGTGCTATTAGCTCCATTTACCTGAGGAGACACAGGTCCAGAGCTTATGTAACTCACCCAAGGATACCCTGCATGGCAGAGCAAATCCAGCTCGGCTCTGCCTGACTGTGGTAGCCCTCATTATTACCCAACATGCCACAAAGCTCAGGTTTTCAAAGAAAAATCATGCCAGGGTCCTCCTGGCCTGTGCTGATGCACAAGAGGCAGGAGAGGAATGGGGCAGAAGTTCATGTCACACTAGACTGGGGTTTCACCACCAGAGGGCAGCATAGCCACAAATTTCTGGGAAATTGGGGAAGGGAGGTATGAGCCCCAACTCTCCCATCAGCTATTTTCATTAACTCAGACTCCCGCTTAGCAGACTGCATCACCTCAAAATATTCCTGTGGGTCTACCACCTGAGCCACATTCCAGTGTGAGTTCTTAGAATTCTATAGTTCAGGAATATCTTCCCAGAACCCATAAAGGAAGAGGAACTGCGGCGGAAGAGACATGATGAGGCAAAGAACCATTCAATGCATCCAAGTACAGCAACAGGAGAATTCTCAGGGAAGCAATTCCTGCAAAAAGTAGTTCACACGCCTTTAATCCCAGCACTCAGGAGACAGAGGCAGGCAGATCTCTGTGAGTTCAAGGCCAGCCTGGTCTACATAGGCAAGTTCCAGGATAGCTGAGGCTACAGGGAGACGCTGTCTCAAAAAAAAAAAAGGAAGGAAGGAAGGAAGGAAGGAAGGAAGGAAGGAAGGAAGGAAGGAAGGAAGGAAAAGAAAAGCAGTTCTTCTTGAAAGAAGGGTTGGGAAGGTAGCTGCCAAACTCCATGGACCAGAGTTGAAAATTTCTCCCACTGTTGTGAGGAGGAAATGAGGAAGGGAAATGGGCTGGGACTATTGAGCTGGTGTCATGGGTATGTCAGTGTGGGAGTATGTCATGAATATGTCAGTCTGCGTTTTTTGGAGAGAGTGACATCTCTCCTGTGGATATATAACAGAAGGAAGGAATTCCCTGGGCTCAGGAATGCCATGAATGCAGTCTAGTCCCTGTGTCTGCCCTGAGCTTACTTCCACTCCTCTGAGTTGAGTCCCCTCTTCTCAACCTCCCAACCTGCAGATAGAATGTGTCTCCAATTCTGAAGCTTGACTAAGCCAGAAGAGCATGGGGGATCGGGGAACTGGATGCCTGAACCCTCTCCTTGTCTGTGTGTGAAGATAGAAAAGAAGGAAGTGAACAGAGCAGCTGGAGATGAGGGAGGGGGAGGGAGCTCAGAAGAGGCAGCTGGCAGACGGGAAGATGATCTGGGGGTCTCAAGTTTCTTGACATCAATTAGGGCAGCAGGCCTGAGCTCATTAGTAGCCTGGGGTGCAGGGTTCATCAATAATGAATTCACCCCACACAATGCCCCCCCCCAGCTGCCTGCAAGGTCACCCTGCCCTCCAGCCAGCTGCCTCCCCATAGTAAGCAAGCTACCCCTCTTCTGAGATCTACTAACTCTGAGACTCTGGGGGCAGTGTGGGAAAGCAGACAAGGCCTGAGGGCAAAGGAGACCCTCAGATTAACCATGCCCACAGGCTCTTGTTTAGCCTGAGTCTTCCCAGGTGAGAAAACATGGGAGAGGACAGAAGGGCCCAAGTCTAATAATCAAGATTTCTGATGTGCAAGTCCCCTGAGATAGAGGCAGGTTAGATTCAGAGCAAGAGGAGCTCAGGATGGACCCAGAAGCCCCACACCCTCCCCCAAGACTGGATGTGAGCAACAGGGTGCCCGGTTCCAGAGACCAAGACACCCCCATCATTCACTTGGCCTTGAGTTGGAGCATCTGGGCAGGTGCAAACATCTTTTCTTCAAAACTGGGTGAGCAGGGGAAGGCAGACATTGGTGGCCCACAACAGGCCCACAACAGGAACCCGAACTTCCTGCATCTGAGTTTGGCCATCCACAGGCAATTTCCCTCCAGAACGCAGGAGTGCCTCCCCCTTCTAAACTGCTTCAGAATTCCAGTTCTGCCACCCTTCATCCCTCTTTTCATCCCTGCTTCCGCCCTCCCTAAACCCTGAGTGTTCCAGCCAGTTCCCAGTCTCACACACACCCCCACCCCCCACACCCGGTTCCCTCTGGCTGGGGTTGGCCTGGAGCTGGCTGCTTGGCCTTCTGGGAGCTCTGCTTGAGGCAGGTACAGACAGGTTCGGGCTGAAGCAGCGGCATCTTCCCCAGACACCTCCTATTTGCCTTAGGTACAGCCTAAGACCGCCCCCTCCTCAGGCGATCTCCCTAGCTCTTTCTGCCCCGCACTCCCCACTCTTCAATCCAGAGGTCTCCGAGGTAAAGAATGCCCCCTATTGAGGCTCCTCCTCCCCAACTCAGTCCAGGACATCTCTACAAGGTTGTACCTGGCTAGTTTTGACCTTCTGTCATCTCTCTAATGATGGCCACGGCAAGCTTCTGTGTCCACTTCCTCAGGACCACTGATTGCAATCTCTTCACTCCTATGCCCTAAAAACCCAGCTAGACATCAACCTCGGATCCATCTTCAGCCCCCCAACTCACCTCTGACCCTGCCCCCAGACATCCTGCTTCGAAGCGGAAGAACAAACTAGGTCCCAAACAACCTCACTGCACCTCCCGGCCCAGCCCAGCCCTCTGGAGGGGCATCACTGCCCCTACCGGACCCGGGCTCCGTCCCTCCCCACTGCACTTAGGAATCCCAGTCTCCTACCAATCGAGAGTGCTACTTCCCGCCCTCTGGCTCAGCCCCTCGGGAACCCAGGCATCCTAGTTTCCAGCCTCCCCCATCACCTCACACCATCTTCTAGCCGTCTGGTTCCCCAGCCCCCGCTGGGGCGACATCGTTAAACCCAGAGATCCGGGGGCAGCGATCGGAAGGGCGGGAGGAAGCGGGAGGCGGCCAGGACGCCCCCTCGCGAGCCCCGGGAGCCGGGATCCCCCCTCCGATCTTCACCTGCTGCGGGCCCCGCCCCCGCTCCGCCTCGGCCCGCCTCTGCTCCTCCCCGACTCCTCCCCGCCCCCCCCCGTACCCCCAGCCCGGCCAGAACGGCCCCCGGGACAGAGCGACGCGGAACCCCGGGCGCCTGGATCCCCAGCATGATTCTCGGTGAGTGGGCTCTGCGGCCCTGGGCCCCTGAGGCCTGGGTCCTTCTCAGCGGGTCACCCCCTCCACCTCCCGGCACCGCGGAGACTGCGGCCGCCCTCCAGCCACCCGCTCCCCCCCTTATCTGGCTCCACATCTAGGGTCTCCTCTCCCCTTCCTTCCCAAGCTCCTGCTTCTCCTGGTAATCTAGGGAAGGGGAAAGCCGGCAGAGTGAGACCCCCGCCCCATAATGAGAGCATTGCGTATTCATGAGCTCATGAATATTAGATGACAGTGTACGAGAGGCTGGGGGAGGGGGCTGGTCCTGGCCTGACGGAGTTGAGGTGAAGGTTCTGACCCGTCGCCCCCAGCGCCTTCCCCCGCCCTTGGCTTTGACACTCCGACATCCTTCTGGGCCCAGGATAAGAGGGAAAGGAGGAAGTGGGGGGCGGGGGGAGAAGATGGTGGGTGTAGCTTCGAGGTGAGTGCGGTGGGAGGTGGGGACCTGCCGGGTGAAGATAAGGGGGCTGGGGAGAAGAGCGGGTGGGAAACTGTCCATCCCCGGTTCTTGCGGCTTAGATCCTGTCTCCGCAGCCATCCTGCCCCGACACGCTGA